CCTCCTCGCCTCCTCCGCTCCCCGCCTCCCTGCCCCCGCCGCTCCCCTCTCTGCTCTGCTCCGCTCAGCTCTTCCCTCTCCGCGCTCCGCTCCGCTATCCCTCCGCTCACCCCCCCTCCTCCGCTCCGCCCCACCCCGCTGCGCAACTGCTCTCCGCTGCCCCGTCCCCTCCCCACCCCACCCGGCCGCCGCAGAGCCCCACAGAGCGCCTCGGAACACCACCAGAGATCAAGAACGCCCTGCTCCTCTTCCTGCCCATCCACCCCCCAACCATCCAGCCTTCGAGCTATACCCTGCTTTTCCAGCCTCGTCCTCCTCCTCCTCCTCCTCCTCCTCCTCCGCCTCCTCCTCCGCCTCCTCCGCCGCCTCCTTCTCCTGGACACGTTCCCCACCCTGTTGCTCCCCCTCCTCATCGTGCTCCTCCTCTCTCCACCTCGTCTCCTCCCCTCTCCACCTCGTCTCCTCCCCTCCTCCACCTCCACCTCCTCCTCCTCCTCCTCCTCCTCCTCCTCCTCCCAGTCCCTCTCCTCCTCCTCCTCCTCCTCCTCCTCCTCCTCCTCCTCGTTCTCCTCCTCTCTCCTCCTCTCTCCTCCATGATCTCTCCCTCTTCTCCGCCTCCCTCCCTCTCTCCCTCCCACCCTCCCTCTCTTCCTCTCTCCCGTGTCGTCGTCCTCCCGCACTTGCACTCGTCCCCGGTCTGGCCTTCCAGGATCGCACCGATCCCAGCGCTCCTCACCGCGTCCACGGCGACAGTCGCGCCCAGGTCCACGACCGCCGGCAGCTCCTCCGGTATCGGCTGAGTGCCTCGGCCGCGCCCCCGCCCGACATGCGGCGATCCAGGAAAGACTTCGCCCTGGAAGGTCGGGTGAACTGGCATCCTTTTCTCGGCGGAAGGCATGCGGAAGCAAAACAAGCCAGGCTGATGAGCCTGTTCACCACCACCACCACCATCATAAGTTGGAGGGGGGAAGCAGGAGAAGGAGGAGGAGGAGGAGGAGGAGGAGGAGGCGGAGGAGGAGCAGGATGAGGAGGAGGAGGGGGAGGAGGGGGAGAAGGAGGAGGAGGAGCAGGAGGAGGACCCCCTCCCCCTCCAACTAATGATGGTGGTAGTGAAAACACGCCCATCACCGGCCCCGCTGCCGGAAGGCCGGCGGAGGGCGGCGGAAGTAAACAGATCGCCTCCCCAAACGACGACAACGAGGTGTGGTCCGCAGAAGGTGTGACGACGAGGTGTGTGGCTTGCACAGGGCGTGGTTTGCGACTCCGAGGGGTGAAGCTTGCAAAGGGTGTGGCTTGCAGCCCGCGCCCAAGGGGGGCGGGCCAAGCCCTCAAGGGAGATCTCTGCTGCGCACCAGAAAAAGGGCTCGTCAAGCCTTCAACCCTGAGTCCCAACGGTGCCGATCTTCGCGCGGGAGAGTCGGGTCCTGTGGGAATCGGCTCCTGGACCCTGGGGCCTTCCTCCAGGACGAGCTCTTTACTCTGAGTCGTTCTCTGGCAGTCGAGGGGCTCTTGGAGGGCCCCGAGGGCCCGACCACGGAACAAAACCTCAGGGCCCGTTTCCCTCAGGACCCGCTTCCCCCATGGCGATAAAAAAAAACCACACCCCGGCGTAACCACACCCGCTGAAGTCGCCCGCAGGGTTCCCGGAGCCGGCCATCAGGAAGAAAACCGCGGTGATGAGGACGTTGCGTTCGGCACGCGCGGGGGCCACGCCGCACAGCCTAACATCCCAGGCCCCCCCCCCTCTCGCCGCGGAGGGAAACCACGACGGACGGCTTCCGGTGGCAATCTGCGGCCTCCGGGGTCCCTCGCCAGGCCTGCAGAAGCTTAAGTAAACGGCCCAGGATGCAAAGCGGGCCGTGGAAGGGGCCCAGACCTCTGGGGTTCCACGCTGTGACCGAGAACCACGACGTCGGAGATCTGGATCGCATGTTCAAATTCGCGGCCAAAGCGAACCCTATGGGTGAGGAGGGGGGGAGGGGGGGCGGGGGGGGGGGCATAACGTAGCGCCCCCCACCCCCCCAGACAGTTGTGCCGGACACGGTGCGGCAATGCCAGGGGCGCCCTGACACGGGGGGCGTTACGCTATGGGGGGGTGGAAGGGGGAGGGGGAGTGTACGGAGCATAACGTGCGTTATAGCCCAAAGGGTAACCCACAAAGGTCTTCAGCCCCCCCCCCCAATAAGAAAAAATACTGATTTTCGGCGGCCTGATTGACGGACTGGTGTCCCACCGGTTAATAGTATTTCCCCCCCTCCCCCCCGCCCCGCGGCGCTCCCCAGCAACGCTATCATGGAAACTCTTGTTTCAGACATTTGGCAGAGGAACTTTATCTTGAAAGCTCCATCCTGAGAAGGACTGTTGAAGCTCAGGCCCCACGCGGGCCCTCAGAAAGAAGAAAAAAAAACATCCTCTGCCGCGTGGACAATACAACACTTGGCGAGTTCTGCATTCTCCACACCAGAAACGTCTCCATGTTGGCAGCTCGCGCCGAACAGGCGCCGACAGGAGTTCTGCCCGCAGTGCTAAGCAGGCGAGTTTGAGCAAACTCGCGAATCAAAACGAAACAACCCCGATTGCAATCCTCATGAGAAGATGTTTGCACATCCTCCCGCATGCTAGGTAAACCACAGTTGCTTATTCCTGTGGAGTTATGACCCCAAAACATGACCCAGCCCGCAAGGAATTGATCCCACGTCGCCGCCGGCGCAGACCAGGCGGCTGCGGGACTTATGCCGACAGTGCTGAGCAAACGACTTGGAGCAAACTCGCGAAGCAAAACGAAACAACTCCGATTGCAATCCTCATGAGAAGATGCTTACACATCCTCCCGCGTGCAGGGTAGCCCACATTGGATTACTCCGCTGGATACATAACCCCCGAACGTTGTCCAGCCCACCCAACAGTGGAAGGACACCAATCCCACGTCGCCGCGTGCGCCGACCAGGCGCCGGCAAGAGTTCTGCCAGCAGTGCGAAACAAACGACTTCGAGCAAACTCGCAAACCAAAACCAAACAACTCCTATTGCAATCATCATGAGAAGATGCTCACTAATCCTCCCGCGTGCAGGGTGGCCCACACGGGACTATTCCACCGAAGAAATAAAGAGACATAAATCCCATGTCGCCGCGCGCGCCGACCAGGCGCGAGCAGGAGTTCTACGGACAGTGCTAGACAAACGACTTTGAACAAACTCGCAAATCAGAATGAAACACACTTGTGGTGCAATCATCAGGAGGCGATTCTCACGCATCCTCCCGCGCGCAAGGTAAACCACAATGAGTTATTACAATGGAAAGCCAAGCCCTCCATTATTACCAACCCCGCCCAAAAATAGAGAACATATAATCCCACGTCGCCGCGCGGGCCGACCAGGCGCCAGCAAGAGTTCTGCCAGCAGTGCTAGGCAAACGACTTTGAGCAAACCCGCAAATCAAAAACCAAGCAATTCCTATTGCAATGCGCATGAGAAGATGCTTACACATCCTCCCGCGTGCAGCGTCGTCCATAATCTATAACCCCGCTAGAGAAATACCCCCCGAACATCATCCAGCCCGCCCGACACGAGAGGGAAACTGATCTCACGTCGCCGCGTGCGCCGACCAGGCGCCGGCAGGAGTTTTGCCAGCAGTGGTCGGCAAACGGTTTTGAGCAAACTCGACAATCAAAGAGAAACAATTCATATTGCAATCCTCATGAAGAGATGCTCACAAATCCTCCCGCATGCATGGTAGCCCACGGTGGATTCTTCCCGTGAGAAAACATGCCCCAATCATCACCCAACGCGCCCGACAATAGAGGGACAATAATCGCCACCGCGACGAGGAGGTTTTAAGACCAGTGTTATTCGCCGCCGAAAGATCAGGAGGGATTCGAAACTAAAGACCTTCGTGGGTTTACAAAAACACTCTCCTGATATCGCCTGCGGGCAGAGGAGCCGAACCACTTCACCATATTCCCAGCGATTATATATGTGTGTCTATCCCGCTGCACGGGCCAAATCTAATCCAAGCGACCTCGGTCGATAAATTGGAACTGCAATACGGTCTTTGAACCTCGGACTGAGAGAGGAGGACAAGGAGAGCAAAAAACACTATGGGTGAACACGCCCGCCCCGTCAACGATGGATTGCTGCATGGTACATGCACTCCGCGGATCGTGACGTAAGACCATAAACGTACGCCTTACGACCAGTCATGGGTGGTTCCCAAAGCATGACCCTTGTAGCTTAGCTGGTAGCTGGAATGGCTCTCCGAGACATCACCACAGTGTTATGTGCCTCTCGCAATGTTATGTGGAGTGTTCGCAGACAACCCCAAGTCGACTATGTTAGTCCTGAATGTCACTTTCCCGCTTTATCTTTCCACTACAATAAAATCTGTACAACCTCAGGGTAATCACGAAAAGCAATGAAACATGAACCAGACCAAACATGAAACATACACGAGACCGGCTTTTGCGAACACCTGCATGCGCACAAAGCCATGAAAGGAAGAGGAGGAAGAGGAGGAGGAAAGGGAGGGGGAATGGGCAGCGTGGTTGCCAAAAACGGCTGCCATGTGCACCACCGAGGGAGAGAGCACATAAAGCCAGATACGATTTCCACATTGTATTGAATCTGACCAAAGCCAGCTGGCCTGAGGCCCGAATGCGTGACCAGCGGCGGTGCGCAGAAACTGAAGACACTAGATATTCACGAGAGCCGGGCCCGGCCCACGAAAACAATTAGCCTGGAGCGGACAAGACGCTTTATTATACGTCGGGTCTCCACCCTGGAGCCTGCGATACCACCTCTGGACACAAGTTAGAATTCGTGGTATCATCAGGCGCGCTCTGCTCCTACATCCCCTCATGTCTTTGGACAGTGCCGCTCATCGTGGCTCCAGGCGCGTCGAGACGCGGTACAAAGTCGAGCGCTCTCTGGTAGGGCTTCCGAAAGACGTCTCACTGAGACAATCCTCTCGACGCAAACTGCCGCATATATCGCACCCGCCGTCCCGAGGCCTCCTGACCCCCCCCCCCGCGCTCTCCAGGGCTCTCCAAGGCTCCCAGAGCGGCCAAGGAAGGCAACCAAGGCCGCCAGGATAGCCCAACATTGCCTCGCCCCGAGACGACCCCGCAACGGCCCCAAGAGACCCCCCAGAAAGCCAAGAGGGCCATGAAACAGGAGTGCCAGGACGGCTCGAGAGGGCCACAAGCGACCCTCAAAACTGCCCCACTGGAGACCAAGACAGCCACAATGTGGCCAAAATGAGCCCCAACAAGAACTGGGAACGAGAGGTGTCGTATGCGACGGCCTTCTGGTCTGTGCAAGAAGGGTCGCCAAACAGAGTGCTTCGCTGGCAACTGACAAGATGTTTGTGTTATATCTGTATGAATACATATAACATATGCTTGTACATATAATGTCAGGATCTTATGCCGACATCAATTTGTACATATAATGTGGGTCCGCCACCGTGTCTTCAGCCGCACGCAGTGGAGTGCCCCAAGGCTCAGACACTTGTAAGAGTTCGAAAGAATGTATACTTTTTTCATAACCAAAGCCACGGTTTTCCTAGAACAGCTGATCACTCCCGGGAGCTCTCGGGGCGTGGCTGGTGGGTTTCTGGGGCGGTGAGCCTGCCCACAGCAACCCTACGAACTGCCGAGAGTCTCCAAAGAAACGCCCAGGACGGTCTCACAGAACGCCTGGGTGGCCCATGAGGGCCCCATGACAGCCCACGATGGACTCAAGCCTGCCCAAGAGGCCCTAAAACGCCACAATAAGGTTCCAAGAGGCCGCCCGAGAGGCCCAAGTCCTTGATTTTCCATGCGCGACACAAGATCACCCCAACACGGCCCAACCGGCTCCAAACGAGGCCCCAAGACAGCCAAAGAGGGCGCAGGCAAGAGTACCCCAGGAGAGCCCCCCTTGAGAGGCACACACGTGGCCACCAGGAGGCCCCCATTAGGCCCCCAGAGACCCGCAAGAGCCCTCCAAGAGATCCCCGAAAAGCATCCACGACCCAGGCACGGTGGCGGGATGGGCCGAAGCCATTAAAGATCCGCCGCCCCCTTGTGCTTGCAGAGGGGTGCCTGGCGTGAGATATTGCAGGTTGGTCTGAGCCCTTTGTTCAAAGGCTCCCAAGGGCCGTCGGCCCAAGCCGCTGGCCACCTGAAGAGCCGCCGAAAATACGTCTCCTGTCATTTCCCACATCGCCTTCAAAACGGCCGAGATGGCCTCCAAGATGCCTCCAAGACAACCTAAGGTGGCCTCAAGCGAGCCCAACATGGCCGCCAAGATGGCTTCCACGACAGCCATGAAGCGCACCAAGAGTCCCCAAGTCGGTTCAGAGAGGCCCCCAAGACGGCTCCCGACAGCGTCAGACGGGCCAGGAAAGCCATATGACGGCCAACGAGGCCCCCGAGAAGCTCCAAAGGCCCCGAAGAGGCCCAAGGAGGCTCACCAGAGGCCTTTAAGAGGCCCCCAGGACGCTCCCAGGAGGGCGCCCCAAGAGAGAGGCTCCCAAAAGGCCTCATCCTCCTCCTCCTTCCCTCTCCTGGTTCTCCCCATTATCCTCCCCCAAATGTTCCGCGAAGAGCTTCCAGTGCGGCTGGGGAATCCATACTCCGATAGCTGGGCTAAGCTCTCGCCAAACATTTGGCCACAACGGCACTGCAATAAAAAGCAGGGGGCAGCAACGACTGGCCGTTTGCGCTGGCGACTGCAGTGTCCGTGTGTGTTGTCGCAAGTGGCACATCATAGTTTCATCAATCGCCAACGCTATCCTCCCAACGCTTCGTCAATTAACAAAGAACGCCCTCTCATCGCAAAGACAAGGGTCTCATTAGCGCGAACACCATTGCATCTCTGCTCTCTGCTACCACGGCACATTCGCATAGCAAGCCGATCATTCCGATGGCTTGCCAGTGGGGAATTGTGTTACGTGAATGCTGGCCTTCGGCTCCAAAACTCGACATCTAGAACGCAGGAGGAGAACGCGGGGGAAAAGGAGGAAACCGAGCGAGTAGAGGCGATCAGGGGGTAACAACGCTAGGGTGATCGAGTCTTTGACACTCGCCACCGCCACCACTCCTGTGGGACAGCCAGGCTGTGAAGGTCATGCGCACAGGCATTGGCACTCCAACAACCTTGGGCGTTTCAAAAAGGGCCTTTGCCTTCGAGGATCGAACGAATTGTCGTCTCTTCATTGGCGGAAGGCGGCGGAAGGGAAGCGGAAGGTCGGCGGCAGAAAAACGAGCCGCCCCCGCTGGTGGAAGCCGGCGGAAGCCAGCGGAAGGCCAGCGAGAGACGGCGGAAGTAAAAGATGCGCCCCCAGGAGATGAGACACGTTTTTGGGGCTCAGGGTCTCCAGCATCGCCCACCTGAGATCTGCCCTCGAAGCTCGATGATCGCAAAAGGGGTCTCTGGATGTACTCGCTCGCGCGGCAGTCTCCCGCACGCTCTCCTCATCTGTGCTGGGCCTCCGGGGGCCTCCAGGGACCTCCAGGGGGCGGGTCGGGAGCGGAACCTCACGCATACGATATCTGGATGTTTTGTTCAATGCGGGGTCCCCAGGATGCCCGATCCCTTCCCCGGGGCCGGCTTCTCATCGCGAGTTGTGGCTTTCCAGTCCCGGGGCCCGACGAGGGCCCCTGGAGGCCGACATCGGCTAGAGGCCTCCCAGCGCTACTCCTCACGACGAGCGCATGTCTGGGTCACCACCCCCCTCTTCTTCATCTCGTTCAGGCAAGGCTGCACCGGATCGCTATTCTTCTGTTCTGTTCTGGTCTGCTGCTGAGCAAGTTTGGCTCTGTTTGGGTCGTCTTGCTCTCGTTCTGGTGTTTCGGACATGTCCGAACAACGTTTAAGCCAGAACAAACCATAAGATGCGGCGAGAGGGAGAAGTGAGAAGGGGCGTGCCTTCTCAGAAGGCTCGGAAGTTCCCCGGACTTCTGAAAGATTTCAAAGCCTTCCCCGAAGACAGTCATGGCTTCTCAGAAGGCGTGATGGCTTCTGAGAAGTCCCGCCGCCTTCTGAGAAGGCCTTCTCCTTCTCACTTCCCACCCTCGCCCGCCGCCGAGTTTCGAACATGTCGGAGCAACGTGTAAGCCAGAGCAAACCATAGTGCGCCAAGAGCGTTCGAACAAAACAGACAACGAAACGACGAACCATCCGCTGCAAGCTTGAAAGCCCCAAACTCTGCCCAGAGCTGCGTCCTTCCCTGCATCCCGGCAGGGCCGCGCCCTGCGCTAACGAGGAGGCGCGACGCGCGGCGAACGCTTCACTCCCCCGCGTGCCCCTGAGGCTAGGGAGAGGGAGAGAGAGCGAGAGGGAGAGGGAGAGGGAGAGAGAGAGAGAGAGATTGAAGGAGGGGGAGATGAGAGGGAGAGGGAGAGAAGGAGAAGGAGAGATAGAGGGAGGGACAGAGACAGAGAGGGAGGGGGGCGACGAGGAGGAGACAGAGGCGCGGAGGATGGAAGACGAGGACGACAGGGAGGAGAAGGAGGGGATCGGCCGAGGACGACGAGGGGAACAGTAGACTCGCCCGAAGAGGGAGGGATGGACGCGGGCAAGCAGGCGCAAGCAGAGAGAGAGAGAGAGAGAGAAAAAAAAAAAAAAAAAAAAGATGGGGGCCCAAATCATATACACCACCACGTCGTTTCCTCCTCTCTCCTCTTTCCAATGAGAGGGAGGTGGGGAGGGAGGTGGTGGTGGTGTATATTTTCGGGCCCCCCAAGAGAGGGAGAATGACGTCTCACCCACCACCATGTCAAGACATCCTAAACGGGTACAGGAACACTACTGTACACAAGCGAGACACGTTCCCCCCCGTGCTCGCCGCCGACGTGTGGCCGGCTGCTCTCCGCCTGACGCTCGAGGAACACCGCCTGCCGCTGCTCGCTACCGCTGCTCGCGCGGGGCCCTCCCCCCCAGCGCCGTACGTGCCCGCGTACGTCGCGGACAGCTGCGAGCAGGCGCAGACGATGTGGTCGTCCGTGACGTTCTGGACCGAGCAGCCGGAGTCGAACCAGTCGTCGTCGTCCTGGTCCTCCCCAGACCCCACTACATGATTGTTTCAATCCCCACGGATCTTGCCAGATTTCGGCTCCCAGGGGTCAGTATCAGAGGCCTCGCAGATGGGGTCGGAGTACAGATGGGGTCGGAGCAGATGGGGTCGGAGGATCGCGCCGCGTGGTTGATGCATCATTGATGCGTGCATCGCCGACGTCGACGTGGCGGAGAACATCGAGTTCCACATCGAGCCGCTTCGCCGATGCGTCGGCGATGCGGCGCTATCCTCCGACTCATATCTACGTCGACCTCATCTGGGAGGCCTTCACGTCGGTCGGAAGAAGGAAATCAAAACATGATGTAGGAAGACCGATAAGGTAGGCTGGGTTCAGGCCCTCCCAGAGAATGACAAAACACAGCAAAAGCATATCGATTCTTGAAGTAGGAGAGCGCTAGAGGTATGCTGGAATCTGGGAGTCTAAAAATACCTACCTTCAACGACCGACGTCTGGATCTATCGGGCCCTGGGACCATCAATCACGGAGTTGGGGCGAAACACTCGCCTCGTGGGGAGGGGTCGGGACCTCCCGGGCCGCGGATAGAACAAAAATCGCGTCGGCGGACGGTGGCATCCCGCTACCCCCGCCTGGGCGCGGCGCCGACCCTGCCAGACCGAGACGGAGGCATGACTGGGATGGGTCCTCGGGGGTTCGAGGATGGGGTCCTGAGGAATGGGGTCCTAAGGACGAGGTGCCTCAAACAACGTAAGTCCACCCTTGGCTCCCTTCCTACCCTCAGTCGGGCGTTGGCAGAACTGGGCTTAGTGGGACCTGGTTTAGTGATGTGTACGGGGGGACGCCCCCCCCGCCCGTTCCACTAACCGGAACTGCCGTCACCCGACAAAAACACCAGCTACGGCAGACCTGGTTTGGGGATTCTGGCCAATCTAAGAGCCCCGGGGCCCTACTACTAACCGGGCCCCCTTATCTGGGGTCCTGGCTATTCCCCACTCAGCACCCCCTCCCTCCGCGGGGCCCCAGGGTTGAGCCGCCGAGATTCCAGGTCGAAGCGGACCCGGAGCCCTCTCCGAGAGCCGGCGGGCCTGCCGGATGCACCCGGTCGAGCGAGCCGGATCTCCGACGATCTTCTTTTTCCCAACCATCCGGTGGTGTTGGGTCCTCGTTTTGAAGAGACGGTCCCCGCGTTCTCCTCCTCCCTCCTTCCCCCTCCTCCCTCCTCCCCCTCCTCTCTCCTCCCTGCGTTTCATCCACCCACTGCACATGGTTGGGTCCTTCGCCAGGCTAGGTTTTCCAGTCCCAGCGCGCTCCCTTGGAAGTCGGCCTCTCCATGGGGCCTGCTATCGGGCCCCAGATCAAGAGACACAAACTCGGGGCGCGCCACAATGCCCCAGGGAATGAGCCGGGGCTCCCTGGCAACCGATTTTCTCGGCGCCTCCTGGCGCCAGGAGCGACCATGTGTCGAGGAACGCGCTGGGCGGAGGGGCCGAAACCGTACGCTCCCCTTCTCCACAATCTCCCCCCTTCGACCGACCCGAATGTATCGGGCGACGCGGCCACGCGTCTGTTTCAGAGCGCTCCGCAGCGCTTCAAAAGCGTTCCATCATCCTAGGCCGGCCTGGCCGCTCTGGAGCGATGTATCTCCATCCCAGGCCTGCCTGGCTGCTGCTGCCCCTTCGTTTCCTGCACGATGGCCGCCGGGGGCTTGACCCACACTCGGGGCTGGCTCCTGTCGCGTCGACGCGGACGCCGGCCTCCGACTGTGCGCACGGGGCTCGATCTTGAGCCGCGCGTCCTGTCCGACAGCAGAGATCGTCCAAGCTGGTCTCTGGCCGAGGTCGCCAGAAGCCTTCGACCTTGAGCGCCCGCGCAGGCGTCGCCGAAGCGTCGACGCGGCGCGAGCCTGCAGTGGTCGGTCCACCCCGCCCTCAGATGGTAAAGGGGCCCTGGGACGCACAAATAAACAGACACAACTAACAGGATTCCGAATTTTGTCGTATGTTTTCTGGGTTTTTGTCTTCCCCCCCCACTTCCCATATTTTCCGATATTTTCCTGGGAGTCGACGATTACTTGTGTCTGTGTGTGTGTGTTTCCCCTCCTGACTCAGATGTGGCGCGCCCGCCCCGCCCTTGCCGGCCGCCTGGGCCGGCCTGCCCCTGAGCGCGTGCAGCGGCAAGATGCCACGACGAGCGCTCGGGCCCGGGCGGCTGCTGCCCTCGGGGACGCCCCCGATCGAGGCCTCGGCTCCGGCCGCGGGTGCGGCCAGGGCGGCTCTCAAAGCCAAGGCCCCAAACCGCCCTCCCTCCTTCCCTCTGCCCCGCTTCTCGGCGGCTGGCTGGACTTGGCCGGCGGCCGCCGCCTGACCTGCTGCGGGTGGCCAGGCCTGGCCGCGGCGGCCTCCTCCGGCTTAAGTATTCAATTCATTTGGGGCTTCGCGCCACTGGCGCGTCGGCAGAGGCAAGGCCACCAGCACGCCTACCGCCTACCTCTTGGCAGCCTTTGCCCAGGGTCCACGCTGACCCGTGTTCCTGTCGAGGCAGATCCAGCCGTGGCGACGGTGGGCTCCCAGGGGGCCGGGCAGAGGACAAAAGACGCCAGGGAGGGCCGCCGGGGCCTCGCCTGGCCCTCCCCTCGACCACCTGCGCCTAGGTCGGCCATGTCCCCCCACAGGGGGATTCTGGACGAAAGATAAAGCACAGTCAAAAAATACTCCAAAATGGCCAAACAAGAATAGAACAACTCGTCCCCAGGCTATGTGTTGACTATTTGTTTGGATATTCCTCCTGTAGACAGACAGGCCCGACTTAACCCTGCGCGCCTGAGCCCCCTCCCCGCCCGTCCCAGCGCTGGCACAGGCGCACGTCTTGGTAGGTCGAGGAGTTGAGCTGCTCGGCCGGCAGGGGGACGGTGAACGTGATGGCCTTCGCCGCCATCGCAGTCATAGCGCGCCGACAGGGGAGAGGCCTCCTAGATGGGGTCCGAGCAGATGGGGTCGAAGGATCGCGCCGCATCGCCAATGCATCGCCGATGTATCGGCGATGCATCGGCGATGCATCGGCGACGTCGGCGACGCATCCGCGACGTTGGCGTGGGGAAAATCGGTCTCCACATCGAGCCCCATCGTCGATGCATCGGCGATGCGGCGCGATTCTCCGACCCCATCTACTCGGACCCCATCTAGGCCTAGACAGTGCCCCTCTTGCCGACCCTCACCGGGTACGTGGTGTCCTTCCCCGTGCCCTTGCCCAGCCCCGATGTCGTGATTTTTGTCACGGCCCCTTTCCCGGGACCAAGTTTGTCATCCTGAATCGTTTTTTGATGGTCCCGCGGGGCCCGGTAAGGGCTCCCAGTGGCTGAAAATAGCGAAGATCCTCCTGTCGTCATTGTTTTACAACGCGAGGGGGTCGGGGCACTCGTACCTCAGCCCAGACACCCGCCGGTGATGTTTTCCTTGCGCGACCTCAGAAGCCCCGACTCCTTTCCCAGGGCCACTTCTTCGCCCTGCATGGGGACTCGTTTTTGATTGTCCCGGGGGGGCCGTCGCCAACTCCCCCCGTGCATGCTGGGACTCTCGTGAAAAAATGCCCCCTGGGGACCGAAGGGCAGAAATTGTAGACAAAACGGTTGACACTGAGATCCGAGGTGAGACGAAGACAGGACGAGGATAAATTCAGGTGAGGGTAAATCGAACCTCCACCGACCCCTTGGGTTTTATCGGTGTGTGAGATACTTCCCCCCGGAACCCCTCCTCCAAGAGCCCAGCCCGGTCGATTTGGAGGGGGGAGGTCCCACGGGATCCGGGTGAACGCAAACGGGGGGGCAGAGGGCCCCAAACCAGGCCAAAAAGGCCCGAGGAGGCCCTTGGGGCGGTCCACGAGGGCCAGGAGTCGCTAAATGGTCGGTCCAAAACGCCCACGCTGGCCCCCAGACAGCCCAAGAGGCCTCCAAGACGCCCCAAGAAGCTCTCAAGAGGCGTCCCAAGAGGGCCTCCAGAAGCACAAATCGTCCCATCCCTTAGGGGAACGTGCATTTTTAGCACATTTGCCTGTTGGGCGTTCACAACGTCCCAGAGAGCCCAAGAGGCCTTTAACATCGCCCCAAGACAGGCCAAGAGGCCCCCGAGAGGGCTCCAAAAAACCAAAAAGGACCCCAAGAAGGCCCAAGAAACACCCAAAACGGCCCAGGGGGGTCCCAGGACAGCGCCAAGAGCGGGCCCAGAGGGAGAACCCGAACGGCACTTCGATTCTTCCACCCGGGGGTTGCCCCAAGAGGCCCCCGCAAGGGACCGAGGGAACCACAAGATGGCCGCGAACAAAAACCCTAAGAGGCCCCCAGGAGGCCCCCAAGAGGTTCAAAAACTGCCTCCGAGACGCCCCCGAGACGCTTCCCACGAGACACCATCAACCATCCGAGTGGCCTCAGACCCGCAACCCAGGCACTGTGGCGGGATGCGCCGAAGGCCATTCGATAATCATTCCTCGGGAATTTCGACAAGCGCCCGCCGTCTGTATACGTGGGCTCTCGCCCGCTTCCCCATGCGCGCACGGCGAATACTGAGAATGTCATCGCAAGAAACCCCGAAAAGGCCCCCAAGAGGGCCCATGAAGCCCCAAAGGAGCTCAAACAAAGATGCCGCAGACAGAACATTGGAGCCCAGGGCCCCAGTCGTGATTTCTCGACGTCGGAGCTCAGGGGACGTCGACCACCCCGACGACGACAACAAAGTCTGCAAAACGTTTGCCAGGGAATGGGGGCCCGACTGAAGCAGCGAAGACGCCCATCGCCACGGCGAGGACGACGACGAAGCTGACGAGCCGTTGGTCGGGGAGGTGCGGCAGGACGACGGCCGAGACAACGGACGACCACGCCGACGAGGCCTACGCTTGAGCATGTTGCTGCCTCTGCCCGAAACGACGGCAACGGCAGCGACAACGACGACAACGACGGGGGGGCAACGGGGGAGGAAAACCGATTCTTTGCTGTGACATCTGGTGAGGAGCGCGGCGGAAGAGAAAAGTGTGAAGGGAGAAGCCGTGACCACAAGGGGGTGATCCCGATAAGACGGGGCACGATACGTACGCGAACCAACCGGACCGCCCCGCAAGCAGATGGAAGGAGAAGGGATGGGGCAACGAGGAGGAGGAGCGTGGAAAGACCAAGATCACTGACAACGTGGTTTTAGCGAGACGTGGGCGTGGATCCCAGAAGGTCTTGACGTCTGGACCCACTCTTGGGGGTCATTTGGCGGTCGCTGGGCCCACCGGCACAAATCAGTTTGGTGGGGACTGGAAACACAAGAAACGCCCAGTCCGATTTGTTCACGGCGAGCGGAGCTTTGGAAACGATGGACGAAGGGAAGAAGAAGCAAGAGGAGCTGGAACCCTGTGAAACAGCTCGGGGCAGATGCAGAGGGGGGCATCGCAAAGGGGGAGAATTTAGCGAAGCAGCTGCACGCAACTTTGTTTTACAGACTCCTGCTGGCGCCGGAATCACAACTGCAACGAAGAAAACGCTTGGTGGCAGTGTAGAAACCGAGACAGGTTGCGTGCAACAGATTTCGCACCACTCTCTTTCTGGTTCCCTTCCTTGCGCCCGACCCGGAGAAGCAAGTGGTGCCCGTGACACGGCACGACAAACCCAGACATCCGATGCCTTCTTTTCGCCAACCCTCCCCAATACAATGCCTCCTGGCCTTTTGTCCATCTGTTCTGCGAATTGTCCCTGCACGCTCCGCACTTTTTGTGCGGCGAGGAATTCCCTGAAGGAGTCTCAAGTGATTCGTAAATACTGCATTTATTGTGTAGCACGTCCTATGCGGCGGCCTGCGGCTGTGACCGCGTGGCCGGCCGCCAGGATGTGGGTCGAGCCAGCTCGTCTGGCTAGCCTGACTCGCTCGTTGTCGCGGGCCTCCCACGCTGCCACCAATTCTGGGCTCTGTACTGGCAAAATCGACATGATCTGGGTGCGGCAAGCCGGGCGGCGGCCATCAGACACGTGTCGTATGACGCGGTGCCGCTCCAAAATGTCTGTTTTACACGCGGGGCATACGCCCGAATCGTCAATGAACGCCTTGATAGGAGCAGTCTGCTTACGAGCGATCCGCTTATGCTTTAACAACGCCTTTTTGGTCGGGAAGCTGGCGTCGCACCTATCACACCGGAACTGTACACCCGGCGGGGCGTGGCAGCCTTGCACGGCCACTTTGTCCAGCGACGACTCACAGAAGAAGACTCGCTGTACAATCGAGGTCCAGTCGTTTTCTCTCATGCGAGACATCCACATGCTGGGAGCCTCGCTGCAGCCAGGCACGGCGTCCAACTCAGGCGCCAGGCGCCGGAGTAGGTTGAGGTCCACGATCACCTGCGCAACATACGGCAGGGGCCGCCCTCGCGGGCGCGCTTGCATAAGGGCCCACACCACGGAGGGCTGGTGTGCCACCAGTCGGTGGTAGTAGCGGAGGCGCTTTCGCAGAACGACGCAGTCGATGGACGGTACATGTAGCCTCTGGCGGACTGCAAGGTCCGAGAAGGCAGGCGCATGCCCAGCCTTCATATCGCCAGCAATGCGTCTCAGGGCACGCATGTAGGGACCGTTGATCTGCTTGAGAGCCGCGGGGGACATTGTCCATATGGCGACGTTGTACAGCAGTCTCGACAGGACCAGGCTGTGGAGCAGGTGGAGCTTCATGGTGGTACCGATGACATCCGAGGAGAATACCTTGGACGCGATCGGGGAGCAGGCGGACATAGCCGAGGAGGCTCGCTGCCGGGCCTCTGGCACCATGCTCCCGCTGGCGGAGATCACGCCGCCGAGTTGCTGGTACCCATCCACTACGTGCATGGCGGTAGTTCCGTCGTCGAGCGGGATGCGGAGGCCGCCCTCAGACCTCAGCTCAGCAACGACTTTCGTGGCACCCGGGCCGCGTCAGCGGACGATAGCTTCGCTCTTGCCCTTCTTCCAGTTGATGCGCAGGCCGAACTCGGCGAATACCTTGGCGTAAAGGTTGGTCACCGTGCCGATGGCCTCGCGGAGCTGGGTGGAGGAACGGGTGACTATGGCGATCGCCTCATCATCGACGTATGTGACTTCAACCGTGAGGTTCACGGCGTCGCCGTTCTCAGCCGAGGTCCAGAAGGAAATGCCCTTGGCAGTGTTCAGCACAAGGGCAATGCCGGCTTTCTTGAGGGCACTGCGTACTGCTGCAAGGGCCTCCTCGTATACGCAGCAGAAGATGAGCCCACCCAGTTTGCAACACACTCCGCACAATCTATATCCACCGGCCCCCTTGTGGGGCCACCAGGCTGTTTGGCGAAGGTTCGCAATTTCCTGTGCCAGTTGCAGCTTCCAGTTTCCACTGTTACAGTTCTGCTTCTTTGCAGCTTCCAGTTTCCACTGTTCAGTTGTGCTTCGTGCTGCTTACTGTTCCTTGTTGATGGACCGCGCAAGGGGGGAGGCCCAAAACGGGCACTTGTACCACGCCCTGAGCGTGTGCTCTGAATAGCTGGGGTGGGTACAAATTGACACCCCTCACGCAGATCGGCGGGGTCAGGGTGCAAAAACACAAAAAAGGATTTGCCACATTTCTGAAATTTAGTGGCACCCCTCACGCAGATCGGCGGGGTCAGGGTCCAAAAACAAAAGGCAATTGCCACATTTCTGAAATTCGGTGGCACCCCTCACGCACATCGGCGGGGTCAGGGTCCAAAAACATACGGGAGACGCACATCGGCGGGGTTAGGGTCCAAAAACACATGGGATTTCCCACATTTCTGAAATTTGCTGACACCCCTCACGCAGATCGGCAGGATCAAGGTCCAAAAACATATGGGATTTCCCACATTTCTGAAATTCGGTGGCACCCCTCACGCAGATCGGCGGGGTCAGGGTCCAAAAACACACGGGATTGCCACATTTCTGAAATTTGCTGGCACCCCTCATGCAGATCGGCAAGGTCAGGGTCAAAAAACATACGGGATTTTCTACTTTTCTGAAATTTGCTGGCACCCCTCAGGCAGATCCGTAGGGCCAGGGTATGTAAACACAAGGGATTCGCCACATTTCTGCAATCCGGCGGCACCCCTCACGCAGATCCGTAGGGTCAGGATCGAAAAACAAATAGGTCCCGTCACTGCTTCACGGCGGCGCCCAGACCTCATGATTTAGCTTTTGCATCTCCCATTACCCAAGATAGGGGGCCGGCGGCATGGGGCGAAGCCCTTACGGATAGGTACACACATACATATATATATATAGCTATATATAGTTGTGCAATTAAATTCACATATACATACATACATACATACATACATACATACATACATACAGACAGACAGACAGACAGACAGACATACAAACATACATACATACATACATACATACATATATACATACATACATACATGCATGCATGCATGCATGCATACATACATACATACACACACATACATACATACATACATACATACATTCATACATGCATGCATGCATGCATGCATGCATGCATGCACGCATACATACATACATACATACATGCATGCATACATACATACATATAATGGCCGCCGTGCACCGTCTCTGGCAGTATTGCTGCCACGCTATTGTCGGCACACCTTATATCATCCCTTGGTGCCGATGGAGGGTAGGTATGACATCCTCGTCGACCGTGGTTTATTATCTAAGAACGACAACCTAGGTTCATTATCTGCAGATGATACCCTATGGATGATTATCCTGTGAATGGATCTGGCTCAGCCTCCCCCCGACCGAATCATTATCTTTCCGGAATAATCAACCCAAGTTCAGTATTCCAACATGATGGACCAAGGTTTATTCCAGTCCGGAACGTACTCTCAAACGGCGCCCCCAAGGCTCAATCATTATCATTACAGAATAATTAACCCGGGGTCAATATCCCGGACACATTACGAACCCGGGTTTACTATCTCCTGGAATTATAATAAACCAGGGTCCATCTTGCGACATGAAAAACTTTGTGGGGAACCTGGGGGGGGGGGGGGGAAAGAATTCATCCCGGATGACGGAAACCGGGTTCATTGTTCCCAGGACATCAGAAACCCAGTCAATATTCCCAGAACATTATGAACGCAGGTGTATATGTTTTTGGGGTCGATCTCCCCAGAACATCATAAACCAGGGTTTATAATGTTTTTTGGGGGGACGCTATGAATCCCAGTCCATATTCCCAGAACGTTGAAAACCAGGTTCATAATGTTCCGGGCGAGACATTCTGAACCCTGGTCAATAATCCCAGAACGTTATAAATCCAGGTTAATATCTTTTTCAGCTCCATCCTGTGCCGATGGGTTGGGTACTTTTTCCTGCGCTCACAGGCTAGGCGAGTGCCTCGCGACCACCTGCGGACCCACTCATCAGGCACCCTCCGCACCGCTTCCAGCGGTGGAGGGGGCTGATGGGGAGGGCAGCTATACCGATGGACTCGAGGGAATCCAAGCCCCTTCCCCAAGACGGGCCTTCCATTTAGAATCGTTGTTCTTTCTGGCAGTTCTGGAGCCCGAAGACAGGCCCGAAGGGGAGAAAAGCTTCGAAAACCTCACGCCTAGATGTTCCCAAGACGTCTGGCCCCAGACGTCCGACGCTGTGATATTGCTTGTATCCGCGGCCCCAGCAGTCTCGGCCGCCCTCGTCCTGGACTCACTGCTGGTGGTCCAAGGGCCCCCACACTGGCCCCCAGAGGCCGAAACCGAGGGGAAACGATGGGGCTGAATCAAGCATCGTGCCGATGGATATCTGAGGACCCTGAGGTCCGACGTCGCGAAATAACAAAAACACATCGTTTGAAATCACGACTGGATCTCCGGACCACCCTCCATCTGCGGCGTTCTCCGACATGGGTCAACTGTCCTCCCAGGTCCGAAACCAAGCGAAAACGCCAGCTGGTGCGAAACACAAGATACATAGCACAGGGCCTCAAAGGATGCCTGGGGACTCGAGCCTCGGATCGGACGAGCGTGCCCACTGGTCGGAAGAATTAGGTAGAACCATGAAGTAGAAAGGCATTGAAAATAGATTGGGTTCCGCCCGCCCCCTTGGGAGGACGGAACAGGTGAAGCCACTCGACCCTTGAAGTCGGAAGGCGCCTACGGAATGTAGATTGGAATCTGGGACTCAAACAAAGACACCTACTTCCAACGACCCATGGGTAAGGTTAGGGAGCCCGCTCGCGCAGCTGGTTTTCCGAGCGCCTCCCGGCGCCAGAGGCGCCCATGTCTAGTAGGGGGACGCGCCGGGCGGCGGGGCCGAAACCACTCGCGCGCCACGGACGTCGTGAGCCAGTGGGCCTGAGCCAATAGAACACCGCCTGTCATAAGAACGACACAGCGAACATTCCATGTGGGACCCACCCCAGTGCAAGAAGGCGCTCTCGGGGATGAGCGGGGGGAAGGCGTGCCCCAGCCTCAAACGTGGCCGTTTTCCACATGAGATCTCTTTGGGGGAGCCCTTTCTTTCCGTTCCCCCGAATCTCTGCCCATGTACGCCCCGCCGTAACAACGGGCCGTGGCTCCCGCGCCACCTTTTTGGGCGATCGGGATGCGATGCGCCGCCAGACTGGCCCCGGGGCTGGAATGATCCAAGGGCCCATTTGGCAGGAGCGCCGACACAACAAAGCACAAGGCGACGAGTGTGGGATGCCGACACAGCAAACACAAGGCAGGAGCGCCGACACAGCAAACATAAGCAAAACACAAAGCAGACAAAGCACAAAAAGGCGGACGAGGGTGGGCTACCGCCCGGCAACACGACGCAGAGACTACTGCCCCATCCTGCGGGGCAACGTGCGTTCGCTTGGGCGAACGCTGCCCGTACTCTCTGGTCTAAGCCCGCGCCAATCGACTCGACCAACCGAGGAGGGGAACGAGAACTGGAGGACGGCAGGGCATCCACACGCAGACTCCGCCGGCCTCCGCGACGCCCCGGCTGTGAGATACGGCCCCAAGAGATCGATCCGCCGTGCCGCGGAAACACTTACAAGCGGTGAGTATGATGCCAAAGAGGCCTGGAGAGTAGGCCAAGAGGCAAAGAGGCCATTCGCAGGCCTGCCCGTGTGGTTCCTCTGTCTTCCGAACCGCTTCGCGATTTGGAGGATCCGGAAATTCACGGCCGGCCCCTGAACCCCATCTTTCCGAGACATTCTTCAAGCCCGATCGAGCTGTGGTGGTCCTAAGGCCCCGCGCCAGGCGAACACGCGCAGTTGGACACACGGCAATGCCTGGATCTCGAGGCTCAAAACATTTTCCCACATGCTCCCCCGCTCGTGCTCTCCCCCGAGTGCCGCCCGCCGCGCCCGCTGCTCTCCAGCATCCTGCAAGATCCTGCAAAATCATGCAGAATCCTGCGCCCTAACCCCGGGTCGATGCGCCCCTGGCCCTGCAGAATCCTGCAAGATCCGGCGCCCTGGCTGACCCCCGTGTGCAGCGACCCCCGTCTCAACCCAGCCGTGCGACGTCCTGATTTCTTCGATACGCGGTCCCCGAAGTCCCGATCCTTTCCCTGGGGCCAATTTTTAATCCCGGATCGTTTTTGACGGTCCCGGGCACTGGCGAGGGCCCCCGAAGGCAGAAACTTAGCAAAAACCTCCCGCCGTGATCTTTTCTAAGACGCGATGATGTCTGGGAGTTGGCGGCAAGCGAGGAAGGGAAGTGACTGAGCAGTTCCTGTGTCTCCGGAGGCCAGGGGGCTTCAGAGCCTTCTGATAGGGGCCTCCTAGATGGGGTCCGAGTAGATGGGTTCGGAGGATCTCGACGCATCGCCGATACGTCGGCGATACATCGCATATGCATCGGCGATGCATCGGCGATGCACTGGCGACGTCGGCAATGCATCGGCGACGTCGGCGTGAATCAAAGTGGGCCACACATCGAGCCGCATCGCCGATGCATTGCCGATGCCTCGGCGATGCGGCGCGATCATCCGACCCCATCTACTCGGACCCCATCTGGGAGGCCTAGATCTGAGAAGGCCCGCCCCTTCTCACTTCCCTCCCCCCAGGCCCGCCGCCGAGGGAACCCTGGAAGTCCCGACCCTTGCCCCGGGACCAGCGCTTCGACCCGAGTCATTTTCTGACGGTCCCGAGGCCTGGCGAGGGCCCCCTGGGCCGAAAATTGCCAAAAACCTCCCGCCCTGATTTTTCCACGACGCGATCATGTCTGGGAAGGCCCCCGACCGCCGCCGATGGAGTCCCCGCCGGCCAGCCCGCCTGCCGGCCGCGCGCCAGCGCCCGGGGCGGGGCGCGCCTCGTCCCCGGCGGAGGCCTCGAGGGTGACGCCGCAGCCCCTGCCCGTCCCGCCTCGTGCCCTCGGGAGGTCCAGCACCTCCTCCTCCTCCTCCTCCTCCTCCTCCGCCTCCTCCTCCTCCTCCGCTCCCTCCTCCTCCTCCGCTCCCTCCTCCTCTTCCGCCTCCTCCTCCTCCTCCGCTCCCTCCTCCTCTTCCGCCTCCTCCTCCTCCTCCCTCCTCCTCCTCCTCCTCCGCCTCCTCCTCCTCCTCCCTCCTCCTCCTCATCCACCTCCTCCTCCTCCTCCTCCTCCTCCTCGTTCTAATCTCCCCGTCTTCCTCCTCCTCCCCCTCCCTTTCTCGTCTCCTCCTCCTCCTCCTCCTCCTCCTCCTCCTCCTCCTCCTCCTCCCTCACCCTCCTCCCCGTTCTCTTCTCCCCGTCTTCCTCCTCCTCCCCCTCATCCCTCTCCCTCCCTCCTTCCCTCCCTTCTCTCCCTGCGCGGGCCGCGTCGTGAAAGACGAAGCACGACGGGCATTGGTCGGACCGCTTTTGGCCTCTGGGGGGCCTCGGCGTGCCCCCGGGACGTCGCGGCACGATTCAGGAATGCAAAACCTGCCCCAGGGAAGCCTCCCTCCTCCTCCCACCCACCCCTCCCTCCTCCCTCCCTCCTCCCTCCCTCCTCCCTCGTCCCTCCTCCCTCCTCCCTCCCTCCCTCCTCCCTCCCTCCCTCCTCCCTACCTCCCTCCTCACTCCTCCCTCCTCCTTCCCTCCCTCCCTCCTCCCTCCTCCCTCCTCCCTCCTCCCTCCCTCCCTCGGGTCGGGATTTCTCGGGGACGAGGACGCTGGCGACGACGGGGAGGGCAGCGAGGAGGTCGACGCAGTCGCCGCTTGGGGGCCCCCGAGCGGCCACCGCTTGAGGGGGACCCCAGACGGGCGACGAGAGTCGCGAGTGGATGCTGGCGACGGTGGGGAGGGCAACGGAAGGTCCAGCGCGGACCCAAACCCAGACAAGACCGCGCCGTGAAAAAAGAAGCACGACGGGAGGCTCGTGACCACTTTCGGCCTCTGGGAGCCATCGGCAGCCCCCAGGAGACCGTTTTGAAAACGGATCCCTTCCCCGGGATCCGTTTTCTCAACGGTTCCCGGGGAAGGGGTCGGGATATCTCGGGGGCCTCGTATTGAACACATCCAGGCAACGCATGCCTGGGGAGGCTCAACGTCGGCCCACAAATCCTCGCGGGCCTCCGACAGCTTATGCTCATGCTGTTCCTTGTTCCCTAGCTGGCGGCGGCAAATGTCGGCCCCCCTTGGGCTGCAAGTGGCCTGTCGAGGGGCTCAGACACCAGACGATGTACAGTCAACCCGTAGGATAAGGACGCACGAGAAGGATGCAAGGGCCTTGGAAGGCCCTGTCGACACTTTGCGGGCGGCGCGAGGACAGGGAAAGCGACCAAGGCTGGGCCGAAAGGGAAGGATGAAAGGGTACCCTTGGGCAAGTTGCCCGCCCGTACTGTGCGGTTTGAATGGGGTGTTTTTGACCGACGGACCCAAGAGTGAAACACTGACCTGGGATCGGCGATGCCTCGCCGATAGATTGCCCATAGGCCCCCGATGGCGCATCCGCACGCTCCAGGGCGGGTTGGGGCCATCGGACCCCTGTGAGCGATCAATGGGCGAGACGGGGTCAATGCCTCCCCCCCTGAGCCCATCCCCCGTCAACGTTGCCCCTGCGGAGGAGCCGAAGGCCCTGAAGGAAATCCAGACCTCCGGCGATATGATGTTGTCATTCAGGGTTATGTTTCCTGGATTTCGACCCTCTGCATGGGGCCCATCATCGGGCCCAGGGATCATCAGAAACGGATGCAGGGCGAAACAATTCCCCCGACGGAAGTGATCGGAACCGCTGGGGCCGCACATGGAAGAGGTCGCATCGGCGGACGTCCAGGAGTTCTGGATGTCCAGGACTTCCCCACGTCGCGAATGAAGCGCACCCGAAGGACATTGGGGGGTCCTGGGAACAAAAAAGAGTCCAGAGGTCCCAGACCTCTCTTCGTCCATCCGGTCGTTGCAACTGTTTCACACGGGGCGTTTCAACCAAGTTTCGGGCCCTAGGATTAGGTCGGACATGTCCCCCTAGGGGCAGATCCTGGATGAAAAATCAAACATACAACGAACATACCCAACACATATTCAAACATATCCAACACATCGTCCCCAGACTATTGTTGGACTATGTTTGAGTATTCCTCCTGTAGAGGGACAGGCCCGACTTCACCCTAGAGCAATCACTCATCGATCTGTCTCGAAAGCTGCCGCAGAAAAATAAGGTCCACGGCTCTGGTAGTGATGTTCCGCGCACGATGTCGCACTTGTTTTTCGCAACATCGGATTTCGGGGTGGCGGGGGGGGTGTCGAGCGTCCCCTCCTCCCCCGAGCGCGGGCCCCCAGAAGCCGACCGCACGCGGGCCCTATACGCACCTCTGCAGGTACGGCTTCTGAGAGACGGGCCGCGGCCAGGTGAACCCCCAGCAGGGTGTCCGATGCCCCAGCGTCGATTGCACCCGCAGGCGTGGGTTCTGCACGTGGTCGCAGAGGGGTGTCGAGCGGGGCCACTGCACGCCAGGAAGCTTTTTGGCGATTCTCAGACACTGGGGACCTTCACTGGGCCACGAGGCCGTCACAAAATCTTGGATGACAAACCGGCCCGGCGGAATTCGGGTCTTTGGGCCCACGTCGTGACAGGATGCGACGCTGGAGACCTGTGTTTTCGGGCTCGGCGGAACTCGCTTCACGGTTTCCCGTTTCGCTCCACTGGCCAGCGCCGTCACTCTGCCTAGCCGCAGACGCAAAAAGATTGTCAGGCTCTCGGGTTATGTTGCTCCCATCGTACTGAAAGACCACATCCCAGAAATAGTTTCGAGCACCCGGAAAAATGTCGAAACAGTGTCGACACAGTGTCGGACGAGTGTCCCCCAGGCGGCGCCAGAGGCGCCGCCCGCCAGCGGGGCCCAGCGCGGATCCAAGAACTCCGCGCGGAGCTCCAACATTCTGTGTTTTATGAAATTGATTCTTCTTCGATCCGTCCCCCCCCCCCCCTCACCCCTCCTCCACCCCGTGCTCCTTTGTCTCCACGCACGCGCGCGCGAGCACTGCGGTCGTCGCCAGAATTGCCCGCCGTCCACAAGGGCTGTCTGCGCCGCCCACGGCAAGTGGGGATGCCGTGAGTGGGGCTTGGTGAGGGTTAGGTCGGGCATGTCCTGCTACATGGAGGCCTTGGAAGAAAAAAAACAAATAGTCATCAAATAAGCAAAATGACCCAGCGAGAACGAACAATCGTGTCACGACTATTCTTTCACTATCATGGAATATTCCTCCTGTAGAGGGGAATGCCCGACTGAAGGTGAGGGGCAACGATAAGGGGGGACTGGCATAGGGGGGGAAACATCGACCTGTAATCGGCGATAACTCGCCGATAGAACGGCGATAGGCCCCTGATCGCAAATACGTGAGTGGGGGTCGATACGTCTGAGCATCGTTCAACTGATCCCTCTCCCCATCGGCGTGGCCTGGGCCACACTGGCCGCTTTCCCCCGTAAGATCATTCCCTAGATGGGGATGTAGGCTGGGGCATCTCCCCAACTGGGGCTCGTGGGCCGCGTCTCCAAGTGGGGTAGTGGGATGGTGGGGATCTGGATGGGTAATCATGGGGATGGGGGATCGGTGAATCGACACACACACACACACACGGAACATCCCCCTCCTATGGCTATCCCCCCACATGCCGTTGCCCCTGGCACGGGCCCCACGGCCTGCGCTCCCGCGGCAGAGTCCCCAGGCAGCCTGCACGCCAAAACGCCGGCCCTCCCGCGGACAGGCCCGCCCGTGGGCCATCGACCGGCGCAGCAGCTGCCGGGAGGCCCGAGACACGCGCGGCTGGGCCCAAGCGCGGAGGTCACGCGGAGGCCGCGGCGCCGAGTGCTTTCTGAGGGGAGAGGAAACGGCATCGGATCGGCGCTGGGGCCGCCTGGCGCCCCGGAGCCGCCCCTGGCGCGTTCTGCGCGCCAGGACGGGGGGTCCACCAGCGCCGATCAATAAAATCCACACGGCCCTGAGAAAATTGATGCTTGCGTAGTTTTTCGATCCGGAGCTTGCCGAGGATCCTCAGGACGTGTGCGTCGCCTCACCGTGCGCTACGCCACGGCAGCCCTTCGAGGCACGACGGCGGCGGCGCTGCGAGTGCCGCCACGGGCCGTGCGCCATCGGCGGTGCTGCGCGGGCGCAGGCTGCCACACGCCCTGGGGAGCATCGAGCTCGCCGGGTGGCCAGCTGTTGTGCGGGAAGGATGCGCGGCCGCTCGAGCAGACCCTGCCCCCACGAGTGTTGCACCCCTCGCCCTCCGCCGCCCTCCGCCGGCGGTGCCGCCACCGTCTTGCGTCCTCCGCCGCCTGCGGCGAGGCCTCTCCTGGAGCGCCCCACGCGTGTGCCCAGCTCCCGCCCAGGCCGGCCGCGCCGTGCGCACCCGGGCATCCGACGCCGTGACACGTTCGGTGCGTTGCGGCCGCGCGGAGTTCCCGACCCCGTCCCGGGGGCTTGGGCTTCGCCCCCCAAGCATGTCTGCTGATCCAGGGGCCCGATGGCGTGTCCACGAGGCAGACGTCGACGAGAAGCATCGGGATTCCACAAACGTGCACACCGTTGGGCCGGACCGTGTTGCCCCAGGCCGTCTCGTTCTGACAAGCGCCGTGGGCCCAGCGAGGGCCCCCTACAGAGGCCGAAGGCTGAGCCTTAATCGAGGCGTCGGACGTCAGGGGGGGCGGGCGGGAGGTGAAGGGGACCGAGGGAGGAAAAGGATGGTGGGCTCACTCCTCGCCCTCCTGCTTGCTGGCGGCGCCCTCGTCGGCGCCCTCCTGCTCGTTGCCCGTCTCGCCTTGGTCCCCGCTGGCCTCGCTCTTGCCGTCCTCCTTGCCGCTCTCCTTGCCGCTCTTGGCCTCGCTCTCTGCCTCGCTCTTGGAGGCGTCCTCGGTCTCCGTCTCCTTCTCGTCCTTGTCGTCCTCGTCGTCCTTCTTGCTCTTCTTGCTCTTCTCCTCGGGGTGCTTCTCCAGCCACTTGGCGTACGCGGCCTTCACCTTCCCCTTGCGGTCGTCGTAGCACGACTTGCACATGTCGTAGTTGCACTTGTCTCTGCACTGGTAGAGCGTGCCCGCGACGCTGCAAATGTCGCAGTAGTGGGTTCTGGTGAGCTTCACTTTCTCCATCCGGTGGCCCTGCTTGCACTCCACGTGCTTGGGAGGCTTTACGCCAACTATCTTGGCCCACGCCACCTTTAGGGAGTCGTAGCTCAGCCCCCCCACAGCGATGACGGCCAGGGCCATGAACACCGCCTTCATGATGGGATTCTTGGCCTGCTCGCAATCGCAACCTCGTTTCCAACACTCCAACAAAATCTCGTACTTGGCCTCGCTGACATCGACCTCGAACGTGCCATCTTCCGTGACGACCTCCATCGTCTCGCCGTCGTGCTTCGCCCAATCGAGGCCCCCCTGGAAAAAGATCGTGCTGATGTTCTCGGCGATGCGCCGCTTGTACTCCCCCGCTGGGCCGCACGTCCTAGAGAAGTTGACCATCGAGCTGAAGTTGGCGCCGCCCAGCGTAATCAGTCTCCTGCATTGGCCCTCAGTGCCGTTCAACCTCACGTACATCTCCCCGCCGAGCATGACGACGCCTGTGAAGGGCGACATGCCGTCCGACTTGGGGCAGTCCGGCGGACCCTTGCCCACCTTCTTGGCGCCGCCGCTGCGCTTGCTCGCCTCGTACTGGTCAAAGATATCGCGCTTCATGCCGGGTAGTTCACTCCTTGGGGAGACCACGAGATACGGATACAGGGGCTACACGGACCTTTCCCCAGGTGCGTTCTGACCAGAGTTTCGAAGCAAATTCAGCCGTGGCGACGAGGGACTCCCAGGAGGCCCACTAGGGCGTAAACGAGAAAGGGGTAGTCGTATCGGTGCCTTCTCCTGCGCTGACTCAGCGGCGAGCCCAGGCAGGAAACGCAGAGGGAGCGGGCCTTCTCAGAAGGCTCGGAAGGCTTCTCGGCTTCCTCCGAACGCAAGGACGGCTTCTCAGAAGCCCGGCCGCCTTCTCAGAAGCCCGGCCGCCCGGGCCTTCTCAGACGCCCCCTCTCACTTCCCTTCAGTCGGGCCTGTCACTCTACAGGAAGAATTTTCAAACATAGTCAACAAAATAATAGTGGTACGATTTTTTGCATATATTTCCGACATCGTTGTGGTACGTGTTGACTATTCCTGCAGAGGGACACTTCCCCCCCGGGCACACCGCCGACCGACTCCTGCCGCCGTCAATGGACTGCGCCGTGGCCGGCACCATCCGCGAGGCGCCCAGCAGCAGCGCGAGCGCCACGGCACCGGGGCCTGCTCTCGGCTCCCGCCATCGCAGCGGCATCGCGGGGGCTGGGAGGCTCACCCGTCGGTCAGACGAGAAGTGGGTGGAAACATGAACAACAGGAAGACGTTGGATGGACAAGCGCGTTCCACTACTCGCAACTCAACCACTCGCAAATGGCCTGGATCCGCCGCGGGGAATTTACGATCAATGACATATCGGAAGACCAGTCTGTTTTCGGACGTTTGCGAGTAGGCACTTTGCGAGTAGTGGAACGCGCTCGGCGATTGGAAGCAGAGTGGGCTCCCGCCCGCCACCTGAAGAGGAGGGACGAGGCCAGAACGCTCGACCCTCGACGACCCTCGAAGTAGGAGGGCGCCTGAAGTGGACTGGGACCTGGGAGTTTCGGAAATGCCTGCTCTCAGCGACCGGCGTGTACGGACACGGCCGAGAGCTCCGCCAAAACTGGGGCCAAAATGGCTGCGGGCCTCGGCCAGTCGACCGCCCGGTGGAATGCCGGGGCGAGGCGAGGGCGAGGGCGAGCGCCCGATGCCGCTCCGCGCCGTGCGCCAGGAGCGCTGCCCGAGGAGGTCGGCGGCGGGGCCATGTCAGACGAAGCCAGGGCGAGGACAAATTCGGGTGAGGATGAATCGAGGATCTCTGAGATCCGGCAGCGCTGGAGGATGCATCGGGCGCCGCGGCCTTCCCGGAGCGCTCCAGAACGCTCTCCAGGACGCTCTGGAGCAGATTGATCCTGGTCCTGGCCCCGTCCGACCATAGCTCTTCGGAAGTCGTCTCGGTCCGTGTGGGCGCCCGGTCCATCAATGACGGGGGAGCCTCGGGACCAACCAAACAGACCCCCCCCCCGCAGCCGCTGGCCGCCAAACAGGCGGTCCAGCTCTGCCGAGCATGTCGCCAATTTGGGGTTGCTTTGGGGCGTCTTTGCTCCGTTTTATGTGGGTTAGTTTTATGTTGCTCCCCTCGTCTTCAAGGACCACATCTCAGACAGAATTTCGAGCACCCAGAAAGGTATCGGAAAAGAATCGAACGAGTATCGCCTCCCAGGGCCCGACGCGTGAAAACCCTGAAGGTTTGCCATTTTCTTGGTACTCGAAATTCTTTCTGGTGGTCAAGGCCAAAGCAGGTTGGGACATCATAAGATGAGCTACTCCTGGGCCCGTGGCCCTCAGGGTGGCCCTCATGCAATACAACTGCGGGCTGCGAGCCCCTCTCCGCATATCACCCTGCCACATCCTCACCGTCCTCGTCTTCGCTGTCGTCGTCGCCGTCCTCCTGCTCCAGGCACCGGGAGGGAAGCCCCCCAGACCTCCCCTCGCCGTGGAGAGACATATTGCCTGCATGTGCGTGGTTGCTTGCGGCTTCCGGGTGGAAAACCCCGCGGCGAGTTGGAAGATCTGATCCGGTGACCAGGGCGAGACCTCTGGGGGTCCACGTCGTGACACAATTCCAGAATATGGGCTCACCGACGCGCCTGAGAGCCCCACCCGAAGCGCGCTCGCTCAATACCTCCCGCAAAATTTCTACCATTACCGGCCACTGCCACCGCACCGCGTCGCCCTGCCACGACCGCCGGCGCTCTGCTCCCGCCCGGACGCCGGTGGACGGCTACTTAAACAGGGGCCGTTTGCCGGACCAGCCTTCGGTGCGGGCCAACAGAGGGTCCTCCAGGCACGGGCGTGGCCGCGTGGATCGGGGCCCACGTGGCAGGGGCCAGCCAACCCCCTCTGGCTGACCCGAGTTTGAGAACCACGCGGGGCCGAGTTTTGGAGGCCCTGAAGTGGGCACCAACACCAACACTGGGGGGTGCTCCCTCAGGGGGAAGACGATCCTAGATTTCGGCGTTGGTGGTAATGCTTCGGCCCCCTTGGAAGCCAAAATCTTACCGCCATCGCCGAGATCGGGATCTCCTTCCCTCGGTGGAGGCACACCGCCGATATTGGTAATGGTGTCAACCTCTAGGCCAGGGAGAGTTCCCCTTTCCGCTCCCCGCGCGCCCTGTCTCGGGAGCCACTAAGCGGTTACGCCCGAGCACGCTCGCTGGACTCGACGCTTTGAGCAGGGAGGCGCTCCCATGGCTAGCTCGGCAGGAGCCTGGGGGCCTCGCCTTCCCTCCTCGCCCCCTCTCGGACTCCCACCCCCATGCGTTCCCGCGTTCTCCCGCCATGCACTCTCGAGCGGACAGATGTCCCCCTGGTACTCGACCATAAGAATCCCTCCACCAAAAAAACAACCCTGAGATCCCAGGACGTCCATTGATTTTGGGTGTGGGGGCGCCACGGAATCCGTCGCGAAACCATAGAGACCCAGGGCATCCTGGAGGCGAGCAGGGTGTTTCTTGGCATAGGTTTCTGCTGTAACCAACATAGGCAATGGTGTGGGAACCAGCTGTAATCTTTCTCGAGGGGTGATAACCCAACCCAGCCCTCCCCCAAAAAACAACTACATAACACTTGAAGAAACCAGCCACACACGACTAACATATTGCAAACACCGATGCTCTCTGAGGGCCGCGCGGATTTCTTGAATCGTGGCGGGACACCCCTCCCTGGCGCGCGAAGCCGTCCAGGGGGGCGACGCCAGAGGCGGCGCCAGGGGCGCCCAGCGCCGGTCCAGGAAGTCCGCGTGGGCCCCCTCCTCCCCCTCCTCCCCCTCCCCCTCCTCCTCCTCCTCCTCCTCCTCCTCCTCCTCCTCCTCCTCCTCCTCGAAGCCAGCAACGACCAGCAGCAGCACGAGGCGCCCCGCCACGGCTCCAGGCAGGCTCGAGGGGCCCCGCCCCTCCCCTCCGCAGGCTGAGCGTCTGCGCCGAGGTCTCCGACACCTGCGCGGGGGTGGGCGGGGGGTGCGCCGCGGGCGCGGAAATGGGCGAGAGAGGGAAGGAGGTAGCCCCATGCGCCCCTCCTCCCTCCCTCGGGGGAGGCCCCTCCTGTCCTCCTCCTCCCTCCTTCCGTCCCGGACCTGACGGAAGATGCTCCTGACTTTTTGCCTCCTCCCTCCCCTCCCTCGAAATCCCTCCTCTCCTCATCCCTCCTTCCTTCCGAAGCCTCCTCACCTCACGAAAACATCTCAGCCCGGCAGATGTTCATCCTTGACGGCCGCCAGAGGCTCTGGAGGTCGAGCCTCCGAGAAAAAGAACACACGACGTCAGAGATGTGGGCTCTCTTCTCTTCTCTCTCGTCCTCCTCTTCCTCCTCCTCCTCTTACTCCTCGTCCTCCTCCTCGTCCTCCTCCTCCTCCTGCTCCTCCTCCTCGATACCTCCTTCTTACTTCCTCCTTCCTCCTTGAAACGCGGGTTAGGGCAACGATGCAACGATCAACTCAGGATGCGTTCCAAGAGCGCCGGCGTGTCTGCTGGCCCTCGTCGCTCTGGAGCCCGCACGGAGAGCGCCAGTTTCTCGCGGTGCCGCTCGGGCCGACACCCCTCTCGGGTGGACGAGCGCCTCCCTTCCTGTTCCTGAGTATCGTTTACCCGATCCCCCCCGGATGGGGACGTTGGTCGTTCCCTTTGGTTTTCGAGGGGTGCATCGCCACAGGGTGGCAATCTGGTGGGGGTCTCGGAGGGGACGGGGATGGGGACGGAGATTGGCTAAACGATACCAGGTTTCACCGATGAGTATCTCCTTCCCTTCCCGCCGCAACTCGCCAAATAACTATTCCTGGACGGAGCCGTCGGGACGCGCGGGGCGACATGCAATGTTGCGGCCACGGCCCGGCGAGCCCGCCCTCCTGTCGCGAGTATCCGTCTACCAGTATGCCGCACGAGATCCGCACTGCACCCTCGCCGCGCACGCACACACACACACACACGCACACACGCGCGCGCGCACACACACGCGCACACACACACACGCGCGCACACACACACGCACACACACGCGCGCGCACACATACACACACACACGCACACACGCACAACTGTCATATTAGAAGAACGAGAACCACATACACACAGACTTCCGGAGGTCAGAGCGGGTTCCACGGATCGGCGCTGCACCCCCCGCCCTCGCACGCGGAGCGCGCCAGGGAGCGGGCCAGAGGTGGCGCCAAGGGGGTCGAGTACCGATTCAGGAAAGCCGCGCAGGCCTCCGAATGTTATGCGTTTATGAAGCTCGCTTGTTGGAAGGAGAAGCAAGTACCGCCGCGGCTGCTCTTTGGACCTCTTCCAAGGCCCGTCTTGACCTCGGACCGAAACGTGGCTCCAACGGTGACGACGCCGTCCTTCTCAGGAGGAGCCCAAAATACGGAAACGGAGGAGGGGCATCGGCATCGCCCAACAAAAACTAATTCTCTCCGCGCGCTGCATCCTCGCTACGTCCCCCACAGAAAACCACACAAGTGCTTGGCAGATGTGCCGAACTGCGGCTATGAACGGCCGTTTCGCGGCGGTTGGTTTCCGACGCCGAGCGGACCGTTTAGCATT